CCCCCCCCAGCGACCCCCAACCCTCCCGCTAAGACTCACTTGCGGCCCCCTACCTGGACTGAGGGGCCGCGGAGATGAGGGGTCCAGACCCCTGTACCGCCCTGGGCCCGCGCCCGGCTGGTGTCCCAGTGACCTGGTGATTCAATTCCTGGCCTTCCGGGTACCCGGGCACCGAAGAGGCTTTTGGCTCCAGCCTTTTAAACCTGCTTCCCCGGCGAGCACCTGGAGACGGGCGGTGGGCCGCTGGCACTGCCGTCCCGGTGCCCACTGCGTCCCGCTGCGCACGGCTGGCCGCCGGGACCCTTCCGGGAGGGTGGGCTTAATATCCTGGTGTTTGGCGCAGTCTAAGTAAGAGCTCAGTAAATGGCAGAGGGTTATTTTGAGAACGGAGTGACAGCGCCTGGCCCCTTGGTGCTCAGCGAGTGTTGGCTGTTATTACTGTGTGCCAAGCACGGGGCGTACCACAGGCAGCATACGGGTCCTGGTTTCAGGGAACTGGGGTGCAGAGAGGGGAGACAAACATGTTAAACCACAGTTAAAACCCAGGGGGGTGTGGGAGCCCGGCTTAAAATGGATAAATGGTGGGTGTTGGTTAAGAGAAGGCGTAATAATACGGCACGTGTCTGGCACATACTAAGAATGCAATGTCTTTGAAGAGCAGAGTTTGCAGGTGGTTCAGCCTCCTCCCCCGCTCTAGGGTTTGTTCCAGCAGGCAGTAATGAGGCACTCCTCCAATACAGGAGAAAGGCCAGCCTGCTGCTCTCACCATTGGCCCCCTCCTCGCTCCCCACCACCATCCTCACTGGGAATCTGGAGTTTTAGGTCATAGTCAAAACGAGCATCCTAGTAAGAGAAAGCGTTGGCGCAAGGGTTTTTATTCTGGAATCCATGCCTTGATCTTGGATGCAACCATGTGTATTCTGTGTACTGTGCACTTGTGTGTGTTTCAGGGGAGAGGAGCAGTGATTTCAGCCGATTCTCAGAAAGAGTCTAGAACCCCAGATGGTTAAGTCCACCGGTCTTACCGGTGGTGGACATTCCCTGAAAGGAATGAACCTGACCTGATCATTCCTCTGTTGCACCATGTCACCACACATTGATTTTCACTATGCGTTTGCCGTTGCTGTCCAAGAGTAGTGTTTTGTTTCGTTTTTAAGTATCTGTCTTATTTTCTCCATCACACTGCCAAATGGTCCTGTGCACTCTGTCGGCCTGCCTGTGGTTGCCATGGTGGCTCTGCAGTCACCATGATTCCTTTTTTTTTTTTTTGAGACAGAATCTGGCTCTGTCACCTGGGCTAGCGCACCATGGCGTCAGCCTAGCTCACAGCAACCTCAAACTCCTGGGCTCAAGTGCTCCTCCTGCCTCAGCCTCCCGAGTAGCTAGAATTACAGGCGCACGCCACCACGCCCAGCCAATTTTTCTATTTTTAGTAGAGATAGGGGTCTCACTCTTGCTCTGGCTGGTCTCAAACTCCTGCCCTCAAGTGATCCTCCTGCCTCTGCCTCCCAGGATTACAGGCTAGGATTACAGGCGTGGGCCACGGCACCCAGCCAGGTCAGAGAGACCTTGAGGCTGCTTCTTTAGTTCAGCCTGTCAATGCGCCATATTTCCAAGTATCGTTTTCTTTTCTTTTCTTTTCTTTTTTTTGAGACAGAGTCTTGCTCTGTTGCACGGGCTAGAATGCTGTGGCATCAGCCTAGCTCACAGCAACCTCAGACTCCTGGGCTCAAGTGATCCTCCTGCCTCAGCTTCCCAGGTAGCTAAGATTACAGGCGCTCCCCACCACGCCCAGCTAATTTTTCTATTTTTAGTAGAGAAGGAGGTCCCCCTCTTGCTCAGGCTGGTCTCAAACTCCTGCCCTCAAGCGATCCTCCCGCCTTGGCCTCCCAGAGTGCTAGGATTATAGACGTGAGCCACCCTGCCCGGCCGATTCCTTTTTTTTTTTAAGAGATTGATCTGTCTGTGTTGCCCAGGCTGGCCTTGCACTCCTGGATTCAAGTGATCCTCCCACCTCAGCCTCCCGAGGTCACCATGATTTCAGTGATGTGTATAAGGAGAGCAGCCTGCAAGGCTGGCACAGATGGGTCAGCCTTTGTTTTGAGATGGACATGAATTCGTGCCCTTACTGAACTTGGATCTGGCTACTTCTGGAACACAGCCAGTTTCAAGTTCTAACTCACAACACGGTCTTTTTGGTAGGATGAACTCAGAAGAAATCTGGCTGCAAAGTTAAACTCTCACCTCTTCTTTCCTGCACACAAACTGTTCCAAGTAACAGGAGATGTCCAGGCAGGGCCAGCCAGAGCGAGCTATTCCTTCTTTGGAGAGTGATCCAGTGGCCCTGAACGTCTGTTGGCCTTATCTCCACCAACCCCTGCAATCTCAGCCCTAGTCCTCCCTCCTTCCATCTGCCGCCTCTTACTGGAGCCCCAGCCCTCCCTCCTCTGCCTGGAAACCTTGCCCCCGCCCCTTGGCGCTCAAGGCTCTTCCTTTGTCAAAGCTCCACCCAGTTGTACACACCCCCTGGGGAAGGTTCCTCTGTTCCCTCCCCACTGACTCTGGGTCTGAGCTGACAGAGCTGGACCATCGAAAAGCCAAGATCCTCCCAGCTGTGCACCACTGCCCCTCCCTAGGAATGCGGGCCTCCGAGGTCGGCAGCGTGAGATTATCTGTGCCACCTTCCATCAGGTAGCTGTCACCCAGGATCCATGGACAGAAGGAGCATGTTTCAGTGCTGGGTGGGGGCAACCTCGCATGCAAGGAGCCAGGCAGCAGTGGAGGGCCAGGCTTTGAGTGAGGCAGCGCAGACAGCTGTGCAGCATCTGGGCGGGGCAGTGTCACCTTCCCCTTATGGCCTTCCTGCGTGGAAATGCAGCGTCTCTCACTTGAACCTGCTACTCAGGTGCCTCAATGTACCTGGGGCTTGGCTGCCTGCCCCCTGATGCCCCCTGCCCCACCCCGTGCAGCAGGAACCCGGCCATGGTGAATGAGGCCAGAGGAAGTGGCTGCCTCAACCCCCGCTCAGAGGGCAGCAGCAGTGGCAGTGAGAATTCCAAAGATAGTTCGAGATGTTCCACGCCGGGCCTGGACCCCGAGCGGCATGAGAAACTCCGGGAGAAGATGAGGCGGAGGATGGAATCTGGTGACAAGTGGTTCTCCTTGGAATTCTTTCCTCCTCGAACTGCTCAAGGAGCTGTCAATCTCATCTCAAGGTAAATTGATGCTAGTTACGGTGGGGAAGGGGTGGGGGTGGCAGGGAAGTGAACTGTCAGCCCTGCAGCTGGGCTGCACTTTAACCCGGTAGAAAAAGCAGCCAGAGGAGGGCAGGCAAGAGAAGGCTGAGTAGGTCATTTGATCCGCAGCTTCTCAGTTGTTTGTAAGAGCCCCTTTGCAGCATGGAGTATTTTTAGACACACTCTTCAATGGGTTAAAAATGTTGATTCTCTCAAACTGTATTCTTTGGCGGAACTTGGGGCTGGATCACGAGTACGTTTAGGAACTCACAAAGCAGGAAGAATGTTAGAGAATGTTTTCAGCAAGTTAGGAATTTGGATTATGCCTCTTGAAATCTAGAAATGCCAACTGAATTATGTTAGCACTGCAGTTCGTTTTTCAAAGTTTATGCCTAGTGTTACAGCTCTTTTAGAATTTGTCTAGCAGGTTTTCTGGTCCTTACTGGAAGACACCCCCCACCACCCAAAAATTTAAAAAATTAAAAATAAAAAAAAAATTTATACCTTTTACTGTTTGTACTTCTCATGTGTCGCTCCCAAGGTTTTGAAATTTAAAGGCACAAGGATGTTTAAATACAGTGTCTAACTTGTAACACAAGTACTGGTGCCCATCCAGGCTTTTGAGTCTCGTTCAGGAACTTGGCGTTGGGCTGCTGCCGAGGCTGGGAGGTAGCACGGGAGGCGTTTGTGTCTGCTGCCCCTCTCTTTCCTGTTCCTGGAACGAGGCGTGCTTGGCAGTCTGAGGATTTCCCTAAGCCTTGACCATTAAGATGTCTTAACTCACCCGAGATAAGAAATGTGCAGGCACTGTGGAAGGTCTGCAGTGCTGCTCTCACCCCCATGGTAGAGTTGCCGTCACTAGCATTACCTCTGTAATAATCGTGACCATGATAGCACCTCCCGTTCCCTGAGCCCTCACTGTGTGTGTGCTGGCCACCCTCCTAAGTGCTGTGGAGCCCGCCGTCGTCATGTTCTCACGGTGTTGTTGTGGAGTAGGTACTGATGTCTGCCACATTTTATAAACGAGGACACTGAGCTCAGAGACATTGATGTACCCGAGATGGCATAGCTGTAAGTAGCCAGGCCAGGATATGAGGGCAGGTTGGTTTGACTCCAGCTTCCATATTATGCTTCTCTAACTCCTGGGCCCCCTGGGAAGGTGGTGTGGGATGGTGTTTCCCCTGGAACCTTTCTTCAGAAAGAAATCCCCTACAGATTTGACCGGATGGCAGCAGGTGGCCCCCTCTTCGTAGATGTGACCTGGCATCCCGCAGGGGACCCCGGCTCAGACAAGGAGACCTCTTCCATGATGATCGCCAGCACTGCCGTGAACTACTGTGGCCTGGAAACCATCCTGCACATGACCTGCTGCTGTCAGAGCCAGGAAGAGATCACGGGCCATCTGCACAAAGCCAAGCAGCTGGGCCTGAAGAACATCTTGGCGCTGAGGGGAGGTGTGGAGCCAGCACGCCCCAGGCTCAGGGTTCTGGCTTTCCCCAAGGCCTCTCCTGTCCCTGGAGTGGCCCTTTACTTTTCCCGGAGTCCCACACCGAGCATGGTCCCATCCCCACCGGTAGCATCAGCAGGCATTGTGGGTAGTGAGTCTACCGTGCACACCCACCGCACATAGGGAGCCACCTCTTCCACCTCTTGACCCTGATGTAGGAGTTCGGTCGGGAATGCAGGCAGTGCCTGATAACGCTCTGCCCTGGCTACCCAACTTCATCGATCGCTGGCTGCACCCAGCGCTTGGCCCAACCAGAGAGCAGCTGGAGTGAGAGTAGCTGGTTATGCCTCTGCTACCTGCTGTCATCAGGCCACCCAAGAGTGGGAGGAGGGAGCCTGGTGGGTGGGATGCCTTGGCCCCGTGTTCCCCACCAGCAGCCCACTTCTCACTTGAGATGAGTAGCAAATTCTCCCAGGAGCAGGAGCTCCGCGGCCGTGGGAGAGCGAGCGTGCCCAGGTGTAAGCAGGGAGGAGGTCCCAAATCCTCCGGGCTCAGCGAGGAGCAGCAGCTGTGTCCTGTCCCCACTGCTAGCACAGGACCCACACGGAGTTGGCACTCAATAAATATTTGACAGGTGGGCTGCCCTCTTCCCTCCCGCTATTTACCAAATGCTATGCCAAACTTAAATAATACGAAGTCCCTGCCTTCCAGGAACCCATAGTCCCAGTGTAGGGGTAGGCAGAGAAAACAAAAAGGCTCTCTGAAGGTTGGGCAAGACCCAGTGACTATGGCCTCCACCAACCCTGCAGACCCCACCGGTGACCGTTGGAAAGAGGAGGAAGGAGGTTTCAACTATGCGGTGGACCTGGTGAAGCACATCCGAAATGAGTTTGGTGACTACTTTGACATCTGTGTGGCAGGTGAGTGACTGGAGCATCCCAGCTGGGGGCAACTAAGAGGGGAAGGGCTGAGATGCCCAGAGAGCCTGCCAGAATTCCATTAGGGACACGGCGATCAAGCGCACCCATGGGCCTGAGCCTGTGCTGGATGAGGGACATGCACAGGTGGATTACACATGTCCTTGTTCTCATTCTGTCACCCAGTACCCTCCCAGGCCTGCGACCACCCCCTAAGTTTTTATTCTTCTACCTTGCCATGCTCATAGCCTGCTTCCCAACCCTGTTCTTTTCTTTAAAACAGAACATGGATATTTATTAAGATGACTCCAGGGGGCAGGGAACCCAAGGTCATGAAATGGCCTCAGACCTCACTAGGCACTGGAAGCTGTCAGAAACCAAGGCCCCGCCTCATTCTCTCTGGGGCCACAGAGTCCCCCATCTATATACTTCTTGCTGCACATCTGCTCCCTGCTTCTTCAAGCAGACCTGATGTCTACACTCTTCCACACACATGATGTGCCCAGTTCCAGCCAGTAGCCCTAACTGGTTGACAGGTCTCAGTGTCCATTCCAAATTCCCAGGAGAGAGAATGGGTTGGCTCAACTCTGGTTCCATTGGCTACAGCCAGGAAGCCAGGTTCACCTGGCAGAAACGGATGGAGTGGCCTTTCCTCCTACTCTTGGTGCTGAAGCTCGGATTGGACCCTCAGCTTCTCAGACAGAGCTCGGGCATGGTGAGGCAGTGTGTGTCAGGGACACAGGAGGTCCCTAGATTGACTTGACACATCTTCTAGGAATGACAGTTTTTCTCTAATTTTGGGGGGAAGTCCTGTCATTTTTATATTAAAACAACCATGGGGACAGTGACTCATGCCTATGATCCTAGCACTTTGGGAGGCCAAGGCCAGAGGATCACTTGAGGCCAGGAGTTTGAGAGCAGCCTGAGCAAGAGCGAGACCCCGTCTCTACAAGAAATTAAAAAATAAGCTGGGGGTGGTGCCACAAGCCTGTAGTCTCAGCTATTCAGGAGGCTGAGGCAGGAGGATCGCTTGAGCCCAGGAGTTGGAGGCTGCAGTGAGCTATGATGACGCGACTGCACTACAGCCTGGGGAACAGAGTGAGACCTTGTCTCAAAAAAAAAAAAAAAACGCTATGTTATGGAGTAGTGTCTCCAGTGATCTGAATTAAAAACAAAAACAAAACAGTGTAGCTTCAAGAAAATTAACTTGTTGTGGGTGACTTTGGCCTTGTCCCCAGGCCCCCATCTACATGCCCACTCTTTTGTCAACAGGATGTTTGAGTGCTCAATCTGGGAAGCACGGATCAGGAGTTAGGAGCAGAGCAGGCATTTCCGGCTGTGCAAATTGTCATCACTGTGCCAGCCATGATGCAGTCAGTTAATTGCTGGCTGTGCACATGTGCGCCAGAGATGGGTGCTAGGTGATCATGATTGAACCAGCAAAGCTGTGAGCTCACAGTTGCTGAATGGTTTTGTGTTTTGCTTGTCATAAAGTGGCTAACAGAGAAGGTCAGTGGATTAGAAAGCACCGAGCTGGCCATGATAGAGAATGCAGTAAACTGAGCAAAAGCCACATGGAATCACATGTGAGATTTGTGTGACGATATTTAGGTTTTATAGCTATACAGTTTTAGCTATTAAAAAGCTTCTTCTTTTTTTTTTTTTTTTTTTTGAGACAGAGTCTTGCTATGTTGCCTGGGCTAGAGTGCCATGGCGTCAGCCTAGCTCACAGCAACCTCAAACTCCTGGGCTCAAGCGATCCTCCTGCCTCAGCCTCCCGAGTAGCTGGGACTACAGGCATGCGCCACCATGCCCGGCTAATTTTTTCTATATATATTTTTAGTTGTCCAGATCATTTCTGGTCTCGCTCTCGCTGGTCTGGAACTCCTGACCTTGAGCGATCCACCCGCCTCCGCCTCCCAGAGTGTTAGGATTACAGACAGGCGTGAGCCACCATGCCCAGCCTAAAAAGCTTCTTTGTTTCTGAAATTCCTACTGGAAAAATACCTTTGTTATTGAAAGTGTAAGATTCTGGTGCTTAATGTCCCATCCCCTTGCTCCTGGAAACAATAGCTTTTATATCCATTTTTGATGACTCAGGGTTTCTTAAGAATGGAACCACCCTATCACAGCAAAGCAGCTTGGTTTCCCAACAGCCCGGGTCTGGGGCCTGTGCCCTGCCTGGCCCAGGGTCCTGCCCTGGGCTTGGGCCGAGGAAGCCAGTGCTCTCCCTGCAGTTCCATTAAGGCCTATGGTCTTCCTGCCTTCCTGGCCTAGCAAGCCTGCTAGTAAGTGTAGCCATTTAGGGCAGTCATAGCATTCACAGAGCCAGTAAGGAGCCTGGAGGACATCTGCTGCCACCTGCCCCGAAGTTCTGGAATCCCAGCTTCAGCATCTCCGCACACGGTCATCGCTGCCCAGCGTGTTCAGACCCCAGGGGCTCATGGTCTCGTGGGGTTGCTCGTCCCAGCACTGGGCTGCTGTCTGGAATGGATGCTGGCTCTGCCGTCAGGCGCAACACAGAACGCGACTGCTAAGGAGCTGGGCTAGTAGGTCCTTTCCCCATGACAGACCTCTGGACGTGGGAAAGGGGTTACTGTGTCCCTCCATTCCTTTCTTAAAGCAAAACGTCACTTTCTTCAGTTCTTCCTCGTGTAACTGGGTTTCTAGCTTTTCACTGTCTCAGACCGCTGAGTAATTTTAATGTTACAAGGAAAACAATGTTTTAATGCAGTACCTAGAGTCAAGCCCAGTACCCTAAATGTTGCCTGACTGGCGCAAAATGTCACATTTTCTCTTTTCCATGGCCGCCAAGTGCAGGCCTGATTTGCCTGGCTGGCCTGGCCGACTGTGGGGAGTTTGCAGCAATCCCCTCCCACAGGATCACCTCCAGGCTCCGGACACATCATGCGTGAGCCCAGCCACCCACCGTTTCAGCTCTGACTCTGCTGTGCTGCCGGCAGGTGTGAATCCGGAACTCCCCCCCCCCCAGGCTCTCTGGTCTCTTCATCATTCACCTGGAGCAGGTGGAGGCCAGCCTCTTCCGACTGTCATCCCGTTGGCAGGTTACCCGAAAGGCCACCCCGAAGCAGAGAGCTTCGAGGCCGACCTGAAGCACTTGAGGGAGAAGGTGTGCGCCGGAGCCGATTTCATCATCACGCAGCTGTTCTTTGAGACCGACACATTCCTGCGCTTCGTTAAGGCTTGTGCTGACATGGGCGTCACCTGCCCCATCCTCCCCGGGATCTTTCCTATTCAGGTGAGGGGCTCAGGAGGGCTCCTAGGCCCCACGAAAGTGCTTCTTTGTTGCTCGTTAGATTTCCAGTCCGATGGTGCCCCAGTCCCGCACCCCATTGCCGCGCCACCCCACTGTGGCTGCCTCTGATTTTCCCCAGAAAACAGCGTCAGTGTCTGTCGAGGGGCTTGCTTCTTGTACTTTCGCCTCCTGACAAGTGTCACTAAAAGGGATTATGAGTCTCATTATAAATTATAAAGGGATTATAAGTCTCATTACAAATCGGTGTTTCCCAAACTTGGCTGTCATCAGAACCACATGATATGCTTTTTCCAAAAATGGACTTCCAGGTCCCACCCCTCAAAGTCCTGGTTTGGTAAATCTGAGATGGGCCCTGGGGATTTGTATTTTACTTCCTGAGAGTGACAGGTGATTCTGACAATCAGTGAGGCTAGGGAACAACTGGGTTAGGTGACCACCGTGTTACCAGTAGACACACCTAGGGACTAAAAGCCTGGCTCAGTCCGACGCAGGAGTGCTCACGGGCAGCTGCTCTGCTCTGCGAGAGTGGGGAAAGCAAACGGCCCAGGCACACTCCTGCAGTATGACCCGACTTCCCTGGGCCCTTCTGCATGACGCTGCAGTTGGCCAGGAGGCCTGGCAGAGGATGGACAGGGTGGGAGACGGGCTGACAGCTGACCCCCACAGCCCCTGTGTGTCTCGGACAGGGCTATCACTCACTCCGGCAGCTTGTGAAGCTGTCCAAGCTGGAAGTGCCACAGAAGATCAAGGACGTGATTGAGTCAATCAAAGACAATGATGCTGCCATCCGCAACTATGGCATCGAGCTGGCTGTGAACCTCTGCCAGGAGCTTCTGGCCAGCGGCTTGGTGCCAGGCCTCCACTTCTACACCCTCAACCGAGAGATGGCCACCACGGAGGTGCTGAAGCGCCTGGGCTTGTGGACTGAGGACCCCAGGTGAGGGTGGTGGCCCAGAGAGCCCCAGAGGAAAGTCCTCATGCAGTACGAGACATAGTGCTGGCTCTCGTGGTGGCACAGAGGGATGCCTGTGCTGTTGCTGTCTGGCTACACCAAGGACTCCAGTCTCGGAGGGAGTCAGATGGAATGACCCAGGCTCCCTGGGGCTCCCTCGAGCCAGTCCCTTGTCTCTCTGTTTCCATCCTCGCCCAGGCGTCCCCTGCCCTGGGCTGTCAGTGCCCACCCCAAGCGCCGGGAGGAAGATGTACGTCCCATCTTCTGGGCCTCCAGGCCAAAGAGTTACATCTACCGCACCCAGGAGTGGGACGAGTTCCCCAACGGCCGCTGGTGAGGCCTGCAGACGTTCCTTGCAAACATATCCTAGTTCTTGGGAGGAAGGGGCAGAAGGAGTTTGCGTGCTTGTGGTCGAGCCCTGGGGGGGTCAGGCAGGATTTACAAGACTGGCCTCCTGGGCCTGTGGTGACAACTGCAGTCTGTCAGGAGTCCAAGGTCAGGAGTGTCCCCTGACCTCTGGGTACCTCCTCTGTCAGGGGCAATTCTTCCTCTCCAGCCTTTGGGGAGCTGAAGGACTACTACCTCTTCTACCTGAAAAGCAAGTCCCCCAAGGAAGAGTTGCTAAAGATGTGGGGGGAGGAGCTGACCAGCGAAGAAAGTGTCTTTGAAGTCTTTGTCCACTACCTCTCGGGAGAGCCAAACCAGAACGGCCATAAAGTGAGTGGTGCTGGGCGGGGGTCTCTGGTCCCATCCCCTGCCCTGACTCCAGCCGTGGGCCAGGCCGTGGGGCTGTAACTTTCCCAGCCTGAGTCACCTCCTCTCCGTATTGTGGACATGGCACCGCAGCCAAGGGAGGAGGGCGAGTTGGGAATTCCCTGCCTGGAAGGGGCCTGTGGAGGCAAAGACAGTCTGGATCTCTGATGGGGACCCTGGGAGGTGAGGACCCAGGGTGCCAGATCTGACCATCGCCCCAGGCCAGCTCACTCTGTCCCACAGGTGACTTGCCTGCCCTGGAATGATGAGCCCTTGGCGGCCGAGACCAGCCTGATGAAGGAGGAGCTGCTCCGAGTGAACCGGCAGGGCATCCTCACCATCAACTCCCAGCCCAACATCAACGGGAAGCCGTCCTCCGACCCCATCGTGGGCTGGGGCCCCAGTGGGGGCTACGTGTTCCAGAAGGTGTGGTCGGGATGCGTAGGGCTACCCCACCTTGGCCGGCACCCAGGGTTCCCCAGAGACTGGGACAGAGCAGTGTTTCTCTCCCGGGCTCTTAATTTTGAGTAACGATGGATCAGAGTAGACAGGGGTGTACGCTCGGAATCAGACGGACCTGGGCAGGCAGGTTTTCTCTTCAGTAAAATGAGACGTAACGCACATTCTGGGGCTGAAACAGTATGCAAAGTGCTTGGCACGTGGGAAGAACTTAGGAAGCATTCACTAAATGAAGCTGTTGTTACTATACCGAGTTGACACCTTCCCCCTAGAGCTGCTGGACTAAAAGCCCGTGGGCTCTGGAGCGAGAAAGACCTGGGACTAAGTCCCAGCCCTGCCGCTTTCTGTCAGGGTGGCTGACCGGAACCTGCTTTCCTCCTTGTGCCCACCTTGCAGTATTATGAGCACGATGGCAAATCCATTTAAATAAACCCAGCTTAATCCCCAGTAGGCACTGGTGCTGGAGGAGATGTCACTGTCATTGTCATCACCCAGTCACTGGAGGGGATAGACGTGTCGGGCCTCTTCCATGCCTTGCCTTGTCAAACTGTCCTGACCGACTGGGAGGGGGCAGACACCCTCACGCTGTGCACACGGAGAAGCCCCTGCACCCGCTGCCCTCACCCCTTGCTTGTGTGTTGGGCAGCTCCACGATTTGCACTTGATCTGTGTGGCCACCACTAGTCCTGGTGCCTCAGGTGTCCTGCCGCGTGTGTCTGTGAAAGGGTGTCTGGCAAGGAGCTGGGGTTGACGCGGCAGGCGCCTGTCTCCCACAGGCCTACTTAGAGTTCTTCACTTCCCGAGAGACAGCGGAAGCACTTCTGCACGTGCTGAAGAAGTACGAGCTGCGGGTCAATTACCACATTGTGGACGTGAAGGTAGGCAGCTCCCGGGCGCACACGGCGTTCGCCACGGCCAGAGCCCGCGGCCGGAGCACCTACATTTATTCTTCAGTCAGCGATCGCCCAGCACCTAGCCCAGGCCAGGCGTTGTGCAAGACACAGACAGACAAAACCGGGCCCAGCCTAGCGAGGGAGACAAATGCACAGTTGCCAGCCAGTGTGATGGGACAGTCAAGTTCAGCGTGGTATGCCGTAGGATCCAGAGGAGGGACGGCTAACCTGGGCGGTCAGGGAAGGCTTTTTGGAGGGGTCACGCGTGCACAGACGTCGAGCTGCACGTCTGCCCAGAAGCTGGGAAGGGTGGGGGGAGTGTTAAGCAGGGGCCAGCAGGTCCGCAGGGCTCTTGATTGTCCCGCTTGGAATTTGGGTTTTCCCTAAGGGCGAGGGGAGCCTTTCTCCAGCAGTGGAGTGGCTGGGTTCCATTTTATCTTAGGCAGATCGCAGTGGGCGGCTGTGCAGATGCTAGGGGCAGGGGAGGCCAGCAAAGACTCCCTTGTGGAAACCCAGGGAGGACCCTGGCCCAGCAGTGGGCTAGACAAGAGGGAACAGATCAGAGCTGAATCAACTCGATGTAGGGCAGATGGGTGCACAGTGAGGAGAAAAGGAGCACCCAGGAGGGCCTCTGGGTCCCGGCCTGTGGGCCTAGAAGTGGGGGGCGGTGGGGTCTCCGGTAGAGGGTACTGAGCCTAGACGGTCCTGAGGCTCTCCAGGCATGAGAGGACTGCAGCTGTCCTTGGCCCAGATCTGCTCTTACCGCTGCCCCACACCCCCAGGGTGAAAACATCACCAATGCCCCGGAGCTGCAGCCCAATGCCGTCACTTGGGGCATCTTCCCTGGGCGAGAGATCATCCAGCCCACAGTGGTGGATCCCATCAGCTTCATGTTCTGGAAGGTAAAGAAGCTGGGCGCCAGCCTGCCCAGCAGGAAGTCTGGCTGGGTCCCAAGTGTGTGGCTAAAGGCCACATCCCCAGGGCCCGGGACTCAGCGCCCGACACATGCCCTGCACTGACTCACCGGGGTCAGCGTGTACACGTGGTGTTTGTTTCCCGGCTGGGGCGGGAAGTGGACCTGTTCTATTCCTGGAAATGTCCTGCTGAGTAGCTCTGAGCCTGTGGAGTGCTGAGCACATGGAGCCTGACCCGAGGACAGCCCTGCTAACCTTGCCTCTGTGTATGTGTGTGTGTGTGTGTGTGTGTGTGTGCAGGACGAGGCCTTCGCTCTGTGGATTGAGCAGTGGGGCAAGCTGTACGACGAGGAGTCCCCATCCCGCATGATCATCCAGTACATCCACGACAACTACTTCCTGGTCAACCTGGTGGACAATGAGTTCCCGCTGGACAACTGCCTGTGGCAGGTGGTGGAAGATGCAATTGAGCTTCTCAACAGGCCGACCCAAAGTGAGAGGGAGGCGGAGGCTCCGTGACCCTGTGTCCTGACATCCCGAGCTGGGGGGTGCTTGTGTCCCACCTTCCTCCTTCCCAGTCCTGGTTCTCCCGGGAACCCTACTCTCCTTCGTTCCGCCCCGAGCCCTGGCCTGCACTGCCAGACGTGATGATGGCAGCTGGACTAGTGTGAGGCTCCCAGGCTCCGGCTGGACCTCAGTTGGCCCCACACAGGAGCCAGGTGCTCCCTGCACTGGCCGGGAGTGTGTGCTCTGTTGGTGGTACACCTCCACCCTGCAGAGGACCACAGTGGGGGGCACACCACCCTCCCTGAGAAGGAGGGAGACTGGCTGTTGCCAACTGAGCCCTTGGACCAAGGCAGCCTCTAGGAGCCAGCCTGGTCCTCTCAGTGAGCTTGCACCTGGGGCCCACGTAACACAGGCAAAGCACATGGCAGCGGGCATTGGTGCATCGCGGAAGAGATGTAGCAAAGGGACGGCGCTGCGCCTTCCCCCTCCTAGACGTTGGCAACCAGGTTCCACCTACCTGTGACTGAAGGGGCAGACACTGCCCTGCCTAGTACTCAGCCGTCCACAGCACCAGGCCCCTGGATGGGCCTGGGCTGACCCCTAACAATGCAAGCAGCTCTCACCGTCCCCTCCCTGAGAGCTCAGCGGGGCTCCTCCCCTCTCTGCAATGCTGCTTTTTGAATAGTTGTCTCTGTATTCTGATGGCTCGAGAGAAAAAGTGCCCCCTTCAAGGGTTGAAACAGTCTGACCCCTTAAGCTTGGTGGCAGCCCTAGCCTTCCCTTCTTTCCCCATGGCCATGGAGGCACCGTCTGCCCACTCACTGTCAAAGGCAAAGATGACGTTCACCTCAGGAGAGGCCCCAGCTCTGCGGGGCTGTGCGCAGCCGCGCTTCCTGGCTTATTTGCTAGGCAGGCTTCTTCCCGCCAGCTGCCCTCCCCTCCGCTCAGAAGCTGTCTGCTGGCACCACTCCCTGGGGCAGTGACTGGCAAGTGCAGATGGGCTGTCCCCTGTCCTGGGTCACTAGTTCAGCAGAAAAGAGGACTGCAGCCAGGGTGGGGGTGGGGCATCCCAGAGCAGCCCGATGGCAGAGGAGGTGGGCACAGTCGCAGGGCTCCCTCTTCGCTCCCTCCCCCGGCCCCACTGGCTGGGGCAGAAGGGCAGCCTTTCCGAGAGACTGAGCAAGAGAAGCCGCTGGGGCTGAGGAGGGCACTTTATTGTCCTTCAGAGCTCCTTGAGCCGTGCGTCCATCACTGTTCTCCGTGGGCGTGTGGGGCACAGTTGCTTTTCTGGAAAGGCTGGGCTCACTTCTGCTTTTTTTATTTTTTCCTTTCTTTTTTTTTTTTTTTCCTAGTTCTGCTTTTTATTCTATGGGAACAAGTCACAGCTGTAGCTGGGCCCCCAAGCCCACCACCCCTGGGGACTCGGGAGCTTCCCGCCTGCTCCAGGGGCCCCAGGTGCCTGGCTTGCTCAGGGGTGTTGGGCTGCTGGCGGCTCCTCCCCTTGGGCTCCTGGTTGCCAGGCGCTGATGCCACTTCTTAAAGGCCTGGAATCGGAGGGGGAGGAAAGGCTGTCTCACCTTCCTCCAGTGGCTGTGCTGTGTCTGCTAGAGCAACCCCTGTGCCCAGCTCCTCCTGTCCCCAAGGCCCCTCTGCCCCAAGCAGCCAGCCAGCCCTGCCCCGGGCCACGTGCACAGGCTTCGAACAGGTCTGACGTTTGATCTGGGAAGCTGTGCTCAGAGTGGAACAAATGCGGGATGGCTGATCAGGGACCGAGACCCTGCGTGGGCTAGTGTGAGCAGCAGCTGCAGCGCAGGCCAAGCCTTGTTCCCAAACTGAGTGCCCGAGTGGGACTGGGCTGAGCGTGTGGCCCAAGTCAATCAGGGCTCCAGCATCCAGGCAGTGTGTTCTGTAACTGACCCGCCTTCCCTGAAAACGAAGGGGCCCTGGGAGCGGCAAGTGGGAGGACCCCCAGCTCAGCAATGTCCAGATGTGTCACTGGTTTTGGAAGGGTTGGCTGGGTAAAGGAGGGTGGCGGGGGGCAGTACCTGGGAAAGGACCCAGCTGTCTCCTTGCTGCTGTAACCGTCGAGCCACCCGCAGTCTCAGAATCAGCTTCCGCCATGTCCGCCACGCCCTTCTCAGGTGCCACTCCCTGAGCTACAGGGACAGTTGGCAGAGAAGGCCTCCCACACCCATGCTCCCTAGCAGCTCCCAGCCCTCCTGCTGCTTCTCCTCCTGCACCCCTGTGGCACCAGGGTGAAAGGGCTGTGACAAGGGGGCTGTCATCTGAGGAGTATTAACAATGCAGATTCCTGGGCCCGTCCCCCAAGGCTTCAGACTCATTAGGCCCAAAGACCACACTTAGAGGGACGCTGTTTTAGGGGTGAGGATGGGATGAAATGGTCCTTTGAGCCTCCTTAGGAGTGGGGTGGGGAGGGGCTGCGCCCACTCACCAGAGTCTGTGCCAGCTGCTCCTCCCCTTGAGCATCTACCCAGCGTTGCCACATCACTGCCAGGCGCCTGGCCAGCTGGGAGCCCTGCAGCCGGCGAAGCAGTGCCTCAAGGCGCCAGCGCTGCAGGTACTTCCTCCTGATGGCCAAGAGCATCAGTAGCCTTCATGGCCAGGAAGAAGGGCAGAGCCATGGGCCTGTGCCCGCTCCTCCAGGACCCTGCAGCTGCGAGCACTGGTCCGGGAGGGCCCAGCCCTGGCCCGGGAGGGCCCAGCCCTGGCCATGGCTCAGGCAAGCCCCTCAGCCCTCGCCCCACCGGGTGCCCACACACAGCCGCTCTTACCCCAGCCTCCTTTCATGGGCCCAACCTTGGCCTTTGAGAGCCCTGGTCTCAGGGCTGCAGTGCCCTCCTGATCCCGTCGGGGGCGGGCCTAGGGCCCAGCTACAGCCAGGCCACTGCAGCCAGCCTGGAAAGGGGAGTGGAGTCAGAAGAGGTTAACACATTGGTCCAGCAAGGCGGCTTGTGCCTTGGCATGCGCCTAGAAGCTGAGAGCAACAAAGAGGGTCGACGAAGGTGTAGAGCTAAGCATGGCGCCCCCGAGTCCCCACATCTCAGCCTCCCATGGCTCCGGGCTGCTGCCCAAACAAAACTGACAGGGTGGGACAGGAAAACCAAGTGTTTTCTCAAAACAGCTGCTTAAGAGGAAATGGGTGGGGAAAAGAGTAAATACCCAGAAGACCAATTTGCTAAGGGGCTGACTCTAGACCCCTGAGGGCTGGTGACGCCTCACCCCTGCACTTGTCACCCGAGGCAAGGTCTCCTTACTCTGAGCCCAGGACGTTTCCCTTTGTGTCCTCTGTCCACCAAGGCTGTGCTGCAGTGCTGGCCCAGGCAGCACTGGCCCTCTGGCCTGTGTCCAGCAGCTGTGGGTCTGAGGGAACAGCCAGAGAGGAAAACCTGCATGCAGCAGGCTTGGGCCTCCTGGGGCCCAGGCCAGGGGGTGGGGGTTGTCTTTTCCTGCCCTGCCCTGTGCCTGTTAGCAGGGCCTCCTACTTGCGTGTGCACAAATGGGATGGTTCACATTGCCTCGTGTCCCCCATGGTCCCCAAGCCTCCTGCAGGAGACCGAGGAAGTGCCCAAGAGTAGCACGGCCAGCGGGACGCACCACTGCCTCTGCCCGTCACCCTATGTGTCTGAAGACATTCAAGCAGACAGTGACCAATAATAGCTACCACTCAGTGAGAGCTTCCTGTGCCAGGTGCAGCCCAGGAACTCTCCCTGCCTAGACTTTACCCAGTTGAATTGCTTCTCTGAGGCCTCACCTCCTGGAAGTGGTCGGACTCCAGAGTCCAAGCCCCCGGCTGGTACTCTACACAGAAGGGGCCCTCCAAGGGGCCTCTGTGCCACCACAAGATGGCCTGATACCTGCATGTGTCACCAGGTGCGCTGCCTGGGCACGTGCACACTGCGGCAGAAAGGAGGGGAATCGAGCCCCTGGGTACCACGCCTGGCATTTAGTTTCTAGAAGCCTCAGTTTCTCCATCAGTATGTGGGATCCTTGTCTCTGCTGACACGAATGGAGGGAAAGTATCAAAGTGCTCTGGAAGAACATCGCCCTGCAACACATGCCTAGAAATAAAATGCTCGAGGCCCCGGCATCTGCTGTTGCCACAGCCCCACATCTGTGGATTCTGCACAGAGCCGAAGCTACGGGCTTTCAGTTCCATTTTAAAAAACAAAATCTGTCGGCCAGGCGCACGCCTGTAATCCTAGCTCTCTGGGAGGCCGAGGCGGGTGGATTGTTTGAGCTCAGGAGTTCGAGACCAGCCTGAGCAAGAGCGACACCCTGTCTCTACTAAAAATGGAAAGAAATTAATCAGACAACTAAAAATATGTAGACAAAATTAGCCGGGCATGGTGGCGCATGTCTGTAGTCCCAGCTACTCAGGAGGCTGAGGCAGGAGGATCGCTTGAGCCCAGGAGTGTGAGGTTGCTGTGAGCTAGGCTGATGCCACGGCACTCTAGCTGGGGCAGCACAGTGAGACTCTGTCTCAAAAAAAAAAAAAAACTGTCAAAACTTTTTTTCTTGGACTCTTTCTAAAATCGATTATATTCTTTCTAGCATTCTGAAATAGGATTCGTGATGATGCCAATTAATCTTAGGAACTGTCTCGCCTGCTGGTATCTCTGGCGCTGTGTCCCTCACTACCATGTCCCCGGACTGCGGTGCGGTATCATCTGTGCCCGACCTTCGTGGTCTCTTCCTCCTGCTGGGCCATCGACTTTTCACCACCATTTGCGGTGTTGGAACTAACCGCTTCTGGGGTAGGGTGGGACTGACAGTTACCTTTGGGTGGAGTGAATATGAAAGAAATTTTGAGTTTTTTCCCACTTTATACTTTCCGATTTATCTGTAATGAGCCTATTTCACTTTTCTAATGTGAAAAAATAACTTGACAAAAAATTGCTGTTGTCCTTGTGTACCTGTCTTGATCTTAGACGGCACCATGATATGTAATGAAGTTAAGTGTCTGTCTCCCTAACGGACTGCGGCCGCAGAACGTTCATCTCTGCAGTGGACCAACGTCGGCCTGGCACTTGGTAGGTGCTCAGCAAATGCTAACGGATCCGGAGTTCTGTGCAGAGCCAGGAGGCTGACCACGAACCGGGGAGGGGTGGTGTCTACGAGGCTGCTGGGCCCCTGGAGAAGCATCCAGCGTGCAGCCACCATGGGCTGAAACAAGCTGATTCTAAAGCCAGTGGCCTGAGGGTCATCTGTGGACCTCCCACCCACCTGGGCCGCCGCTCACCTGCTTCCAAGGGGCTGGGGTGTCCAGCCGCAGCAGGAGGTGCCCCCTGCTGGCCATCCTGGGCCAGTGCATAAGGTTGGCCTGGGGCCTGGAGCAGACCGTGCTAGCTTCCTGGGCCTCAGCCCGCCGGCCCTGACGCACTCTGAGCAACGCTGTCCACCACTGCGCCCAGTGGATCTGCAGGAGGCGCCTGAGCCCAGCCTGCTGGAGCTGGGTGACAGCAGCTCGCTGGACACGGCCCTGGGCCATCAACTGGGCCCAGGCCTCTAGAACCCTGGGGGTGAGGGAGGAGACCAGACCCAGGGCCGTTAGGGCCAGGACACTGGCAAGCCCTGCTGAGAGCCGTCCCCAGTGCCCTGAGGGCAAAGCCCCACTCCCGTGCCCACCCCATCCCCCACCCCTCTTCTGGAGAATAGGGTTAAAACAGGCATGGGGAGTGGCCTGGAGGGAGAAGAATTTCACCATAGGGACAAGCATCGTGTTTAGGGGTAGAGAAAGAACACTCCTGCCTGCTCCACTTTACCGCCCCTCCCCTCACGAGAATGCCAGTTTACGGCACGCTCGCTGAGTGCTGGCCTGTGCCCAGTGCCTGCAGGGAAGGCTGCTGGAGACTTCCCCAAGGAGGGGCCACGCAGCCAGCAAGTGGCAGAGCTGGGATGTGGCCCCAGTAGCAGCTGCAATGGCCAGGATGGCCTCTCCCTATCGCCCCCAACCACCCTCCTGAGCCTCTGCCCTGCCCCAGACAGAAAATACGCTCTAGCCCTGCCACAGACAAGCTCCAGGCCTGATCAGGGAGCACAGCGTGGGGCTGCCCTCAGGCCATGGCACTCACCGGGCACTCGGCTTCCGGGCAGTGTGTGCTCCGCTGGCCTGGCCAAGGTGGGACTGGCACACCCCCGGGGTCCAGCACAGGGCCATCCGGGCCCCAGCTCTCCATTCTGCCAGCTGCTGGGCCCCACGGCGCAGGCCCAGGGCCACTTGCCATGCTCCGAAGGCCTGCCGGGCCCGGGCCCACCTCAGCTGCCTGTCTGCCCGGCCCCGCTGCGCGCGGCTTCTCCAGCGGGCGAGGGAGGCCTGGGCCACAAGCTGCTCCTGTGCCCGGACTGCCGCCGCTGGGGCTTCCCGCCACGTGGGACGTGTGGCCGCCAGTGCCCTTTTCCTCAGGCCATCCTGGAAGTCTCGATGCTGGGCCTGGGGCGCCCCTGGGTCTCTCGCAACCTCACGCCAGGCCTGGAAGTAGCTGCGAAATGGGCGAAGGAGGGGCCTGCTGGCTCTCAGAGTCAAAAGTCCCATTTATTCAAATTTACGCCCGCAAACCCCACAAAGTATTGACAGACAAGCAACGGCTGAAAGCACCGGCTCTCCTTTAGGGGCCTCGGCACTCGCAGACACCCCGTCTTTGAACCCCAGGCTCGGGGGGCAGGTGCTGCCCTGGGAAGGATGGGAACCAGCAGTTGTGGGTTCAGGTCCCACAACGGCCATGTCCTGTGTCCCCTCACACGCCCCAGTGTCCGTGAGGGAAAGGAGGAACACAACCCCCACTCCCTGAGGGGCCCAGGAAACGTGGACGCCCCTCACAGCGACAGCACAGACGTCAGCCACTCTGCGGTCAGTCAGCTGCCCCTGTGGGGACACTGTGAACACTTGCAAATTTGTACTGAGCTTTGGGCAGAAGGGTCATCTGTCCCCTCTGCTTAATTTTAAAATATGCATGAATGAGCTGTCTGCTTGTTCCACCAGCACGTCTCCATCTAAATGAAGATTTCACTCTCTTCTCTTGGCAGCAGCAGAATTCTCCTGTGCTACGACCTTTGTCAACACACGCTATGGGCGGACGTCTGAGGAGTTGCTTTCCCTGTCTCTTAATTGTATCCCCTGAGACAAAAGGACTGACCTGGCCAGGAGCTGGACTCCTGGGGCTTGTTAGGGCCAAAGATTAGGGTTGGGGTTGGCCACCACCCCCCAAAACAGATAATGAGGTGTTGGTGGTCATGGCCCTCCATCTCCAGGCCAGGGTCTCCCTTCGCACCACCCTCCTTTCCTGGGCCCCAACCTCCAGGGCTGCCCTTTGACCTTCCCATCCCCTGGGGTCTCTGTCTGTCCCCAGGTCCACCCACCTCTGCAGTAGCAGTGGCTCTGGCTGGGCCACCATGTGTCTCCGATGAAGCATCGCCTGTTGCCAGACCCGGAACACAGCCCTCCGCAGGCCCTGGAGGCGGACCTGCACCCACCTCTGCTGCTTTTCACGCAGGAACTGCTGCCCTGGGGCCAGAGAGATGCTAAAGTGCCAGTGGATGCTCACTCTGGCCTCTCCCCTGTGCCCGGGGTACCGTGGGCCTCTGTCCCACCAGCCCTGGAACAGAGGAGGCCACCCCAGCTGTCTGGGTTAAAATGTCTCAAAAAAAAAAAAAAACTGTCAAAACTTTTTTTCTTGGACTCTTTCTAAATCGATTATATTCTTTCTAGCATTCTGAAATAGGATTCGTGATGATGCCAATTAATCTTAGGAACTGTCTCGCCTGCTGGTATCTCTGGCGCTGTGTCCCTCACTACCATGTCCCCGGACTGCGGTGCGGTATCATCTGTGCCCGACCTTCGTGGTCTCTTCCTCCTGCTGGGCCATCGACTTTTCACCACCATTTGCGGTGTTGGAACTAACCGCTTCTGGGGTAGGGTGGGACTGACAGTTACCTTTGGGTGGAGTGAATATGAAAGAAATTTTGAGTTTTTTCCCACTTTATACTTTCCGATTTATCTGTAATGAGCCTATTTCACTTTTCTAATGTGAAAAAATAACTTGACAAAAAATTGCTGTTGTCCTTGTGTACCTGTCTTGATCTTAGACGGCACCATGATATGTAATGAAGTTAAGTGTCTGTCTCCCTAACGGACTGCGGCCGCAGAACGTTCGTCTCTGCAGTGGACCAACGTCGGCCTGGCACTTGGTAGGTGCTCAGCAAATGCTAACGGATCCGGAGTTCTGTGCAGAGCCAGGAGGCTGACCACGAACCGGGGAGGGGTGGTGTCTACGAGGCTGCTGGGCCCCTGGAGAAGCATCCAGCGTGCAGCCACCATGGGCTGAAACAAGCTGATTCTAAAGCCAGTGGCCTGAGGGTCATCTGTGGACCTCCCACCCACCTGGGCCGCCGCTCACCTGCTTCCAAGGGGCTGGGGTGTCCAGCCGCAGCAGGAGGTGCCCCCTGCTGGCCATCCTGGGCCAGTGCATAACGTTGGCCTGGGGCCTGGAGCAGACCGTGCTAGCTTCCTGGGCCTCAGCCCGCCGGCCCTGACGCACTCTGAGCAACGCTGTCCACCACTGCGCCCAGTGGATCTGCAGGAGGCGCCTGAGCCCAGCCTGCTGGAGCTGGGTGACAGCAGCTCGCTGGACACGGCCCTGGGCCATCAACTGGGCCCAGGCCTCTAGAACCCTGGGGGTGAGGGAGGAGACCAGACCCAGGGCCGTTAGGGCCAGGACACTGGCAAGCCCTGCTGAGAGCCCTCCCCAGTGCCCTGAGGGCAAAGCCCCACTCCCGTGCCCACCCCATCCCCCACCCCTCTTCTGGAGAATAGGGTTAAAACAGGCATGGGGAGTGGCCTGGAGGGAGAAGAATTTCACCATAGGGACAAGCATCGTGTTTAGGGGTAGAGAAAGAACACTCCTGCCTGCTCCACTTTACCGCCCCTCCCCTCACGAGAATGCCAGTTTACGGCACGCTCGCTGAGTGCTGGCCTGTGCCCAGTGCCTGCAGGGAAGGCTGCTGGAGACTTCCCCAAGGAGGGGCCACGCAGCCAGCAAGTGGCAGAGCTGGGATGTGGCCCCAGTAGCAGCTGCAATGGCCAGGATGGCCTCTCCCTATCGCCCCCAACCACCCTCCTGAGCCTCTGCCCTGCCCCAGACAGAAAATACGCTCTAGCCCTGCCACAGACAAGCTCCAGGCCTGATCAGGGAGCACAGCGTGGGGCTGCCCTCAGGCCATGGCACTCACCGGGCACTCGGCTTCCGGGCAGTGTGTGCTCCGCTGGCCTGGCCAAGGTGGGACTGGCACACCCCCGGGGTCCAGCACAGGGCCATCCGGGCCCCAGCTCTCCATTCTGCCAGCTGCTGGGCCCCACGGCGCAGGCCCAGGGCCACTTGCCATGCTCCGAAGGCCTGCCGGGCCCGGGCCCACCTCAGCTGCCTGTCTGCCCGACCCCGCTGCGCGCGGCTTCTCCAGCGGGCGAGGGAGGCCTGGGCCACAAGCTGCTCCTGTGCCCGGACTGCCGCCGCTGGGGCTTCCCGCCACGTGGGACGTGTGGCCGCCAGTGCCCTTTTCCTCAGGCCATCCTGGAAGTCTCGATGCTGGGCCTGGGGTGCCCCTGGGTCTCTCGCAACCTCACGCCAAGCCTGGAAGTAGCTGCGAAATGGGCGAAGGAGGGGCCTGCTGGCTCTCAGAGTCAAAAGTCCCATTTATTCAAATTTACGCCCGCAAACCCCACAAAGTATTGACTGACAAGCAACAGCTGAAAGCACCGGCTCTCCTTTAGGGGCCTCGGCACTCGCAGACTCCCCGTCTTTGAACCCCAGGCTCGGGGGGCAGGTGCTGCCCTGGGAAGGATGGGAACCAGCAGTTGTGGGTTCAGGTCCCACAACGGCCATGTCCTGTGTCCCCTCACACGCCCCAGTGTCCGTGAGGGAAAGGAGGAACACAACCCCCACTCCCTGAGGGGCCCAGGAAACGTGGACGCCCCTCACAGCGACAGCACAGACGTCAGCCACTCTGCGGTCAGTCAGCTGCCCCTGTGGGGACACTGTGAACACTTGCAAATTTGTACTGAGCTTTGGGCAGAAGGGTCATCTGTCCCCTCTGCTTAATTTTAAAATATGCATGAATGAGCTGTCTGCTTGTT